CGGCCGGGCAGGGGCGTCCGGTGGGGGCGGGGCGGCGGCGGGCGCCGCCCCGGGCCCTCCCCCGCCTCCCCGCCCGCCGCCCCGGCCGCAGGCTCCTCCATCGGGGCCGGGCCGGCGGAGCAGCCCCGAAGTTTGCGGAGCGGCCGGCGCCGAGGCCATGTGGCTGCTGTGGCTGCTGCTGGGCTCGGCGGGTGAGTGCAGGCGCGGGCCGTCCCGGGGCGCTGCCCGGCGGCGAGGGGGCGTGCTCGGCGCGGCGGGGGAGGGCACGGGGCCTCGCGTCCGCCCCCGCCTCCCGGCGGCGCCCGGTGAGCCGGGGGCCTCCGGCCTCTTCTCCCCTCCTCTCCTCTCCCCTCCCCTACGCTTCCCCACCTCCGGGCGGGCCGAGGCGGTGGGGGCCGCCCGCGGCGGGGCCGCGCTCCCGTCCCGGCCTCCCCTCGGGGCGGGCTCGGGCTGGGGGCGGCCAGCGGGTGGGCGAGGCGGTGCCTTGCTCGGCGCCGGGCGTGGAGCCGTTCGGGAGCCGCCCGGGCCCCGCCGAGCTGCCCCGCCTCGTCTGGGCTGCTAGGTGGGCTGCGCCGCTAACTCTTCCTTCGGTAAACTTTTACACCCCCGTGGTCAGCGGCTGTCAAAGTCAGCGAGCTGCCGGCGTGCCGTGAGGCCGTGCTGCGGGCGTGATTGGTGCTGCTGCTCGGTCCTAGCGGACTCTTGCCCGGAAAGAGGGTAGCCGACTAAGTACTGCTGTCGGCACGGGAATCGCTCCGTGCAGATGGAACGATGGCACGCAGTAGCAGAGTTTGGATTGTAAAGCGGGATGTTCTTTTTTCTTCTTATTGAAGAGCATTTGTTGTCATTAAGGTCTTTTAAGTTTCACAGATTCCACGATATAACTTTGGTTCTATGGGCAGGAAGAAGGAGAAGTGCAGTGGGACCTGCAGTGTTTCAGGGTCACATACCTGCCAGCTGCGTATGCAGCGTGTGTGGCTGCTCTGTAGGTTTGTGTAGGCTTTTCGAAATTATTTCAGCTGTTCCTTATTTGGAAACCTTCAGGCAAAGCCTGGGTTTGTTTATCTGTGTTGTGATGCTTTCTTCCTCGTTAAGTTCCATAACACAGTAATGTGGCCTGCACTTCACCAAAGTGTTCCTAGCAAGGCACATGTTTCCATGTGCCGCCTGTACGTGAGTGAACACACTGGGCTTAGCGTGGGGCCTTGGAGCTGCCAGCCACCCACCTGAGCATGGCAGTCCCACAGTCCACCCCTCACAGGCCTGTTTCCCATCTGGGAGCCTTGCACGCTGAGCTCTGCCCTTCTTGCACAAGAGTTCCGCTGCAGTTATTTAACCAGTGACTCTGGCTTGCTTTGGAGCCGATGCAAAGAGCTTTCTGAAACCTTTTTTATTGTTATTTTTAATGCATTTTCTATTTTGAACATTCATGTATTGGATCTTTGGGATTTTTGTTTGAAATGTTCCTTCCCCTGTATATTTTGGCAGCCCCATAACCTTCCCACAGGGAGAACTGGCTTGTCTTTGCCTGGCCTTTTAGTTTTGATAACTCCTGAAAGAATTTCTTTCCTTTTGAGTCTTTTTTGGGTATGGATCGGAAACTTTGAAGCCCTGGGGGTCAGTGTCAGCTAACAGAAAATAAACAGTGATTCAAGTCTGTGTCTAACAGTTGTTCCTGTTGCAGAAATAGCTGGGATTGCATCAGTGGAGATTTGCAAGGCAAAGTTTGATATTTTATTTACATCTTTTCTTAATAGATCAAATGTCACTTTTGATCCTTAAAGACCTTATCTGAACGGGAAAGGTTTTACCTATGCTATGTACAGGGTGAATGTATACGAGGCTGACAGCTGATCAGAAGGAGACTGTCTTATCTCCAGCCATAACCTTTGTTCCCAGTAAAAGAGCTCCCCAATTTTATTCCTTTCTTTTTTTCAAGCTGTGCCTCATTTCAGATCCCACTGAGCGCTCACACCTTCACGTGCCCAGGTAGCACTCCACTCTGCCATGCTCTGACCCTGTTCCCAGCACTTCTCATGGCTCCAAGGCAGCTCAAGGGTTCCTGAATGCGGGTTAGGCCCTTCAGGGGTTGCAGTTACCATCTCAGGCTGTAAGAACATCATCAGGTTAAGGAAGATTGCTTTTTTGCTGACAACTACAAAACTTGTTCCTGTTTTAGATCTGAAGTAGGTCTTAAAAATGTCAGTCTTCAACCTGCTGGAGAGTCAGAGTGCAGTGCATAGCTGGAATTCCTACACGTGGTCTCTAGGATATCACAGTCCAGTGTAAAGATTGTTCTGATGTATAAGCAGTATATGAAGTATAGATGTTATACTTCCTAAAATACGCTCAGCTATCTCAGTTTTAGGGGGAAGGTTTGTGTCGGCTCCCTCCTGTCTTTCGCACTTGCGCTGTTGGGATCAGGACCTTGTTTCACAGAAAGCATAAACATGCAGGACCACATGTATGCTGTCATCACAATTTGCTACTACATTTCAAAAGTCTAAAAAAACCATAACATCCCCAAAACTGAGCAGGGATGGAAGCTGCTCAAAGGGTTATGTTACTGCATTAATAATCTGCGTGGTGTAATCCTCGCTAGCTTAAAGCTTTGGTACACTGCAAAGGGAATGCCTAAGATTTCCCTGTGCTGGTCTTCATTTGTACTGATGTTGAGGTATTGCTTCCGTTGGATTTCTTTGCTGAAAACCCTCGTGTTCTGCATGGGAGCTGAGGAGTGCTGTTGAGTACCATTCTGCTCCACTGCTGTATAAATAAAGGGAGCAAGGAAAGCACTCTACTTGGAGGCATGTCTGTCCTGTGTATACAGCATGCTTGTTTTGTATTCTTGATGCAACCTCTTAAAAACTTCTAAACCAGGTCTGTTGCTTCAACAACCACAATTTTTCCTGTTCCATTACATGTGCAAACTGCAGACTGTTGTAGTGCTTTGATGTGTGGGTGATGAACAAGGATTCCTGTAGCAGCTTTGGCAAGTGAGGAAGCTCCCATCTCGGCAAACCAATAAGAGAGAGAAGCGATACATGAGAGGTGCTGGATATTTGCTGTAGTGAGAGCAGCTGAGGGGTGCTGCGTCAAGGAAAAGCTCCACATCTGGCTACAGGGCATTTGATGTTTGTTTCCTCAAGACTTCCTTTTTAGGTGGTAGGTATCGTACTCTGTTGTTTGCTATCAGAAACATTGGGTGCTGCCAACACCCAGTTGGGGGTAACGGCCTGATTGCAGTCTTGCAGTCACGTATCATGGTAGGAAGTGGAGATTGTTAGCTATAAAGTAGACTGTCAAAATGCACCCCTTGTACAAATGTGAAATAAAATGTCTGAAGCCTACCGTCAGCCTGCAGTATCTGATACACCAAGAGACTAGCGTGCTCTTTGGATGAAAGGATTTTGTGGTGATAGTATAACATGTTTATTGTGACAACAGCAATCCAGCATCCTGCTTCCATTTGTTTGTTGATTATCTCCCAGGTGAGGAGTAAAACAGCTTCACTTGTCATAAATCTGGGAGGCTGGTTACAGAGCTGATGGCTTCTCAGACAGCAGGATGGGATGAGCAGAGGTTCAAACATCCCTGTTTGGTCAGGAAGGGCTGAGGCAAGGTTTTATCACCTACACGCAGGCTTTGTTTTTTAAAGCCAGTAAATCTCACAGAACAGCTTCTGTGATGTTCTGTCCTGTGGTTGCCCTCTGTCTGCGCAGGCAGAAGGCAGTCATGTAATGGGCCTGAAAAATCCATAGCATGAGGTCCTCAGTGATGATGGCAGTGCTCTCATTTTCGGCATCCTCAATGTTGTGGAAGCTGACGATGATTTTAATGAAGTGGTGGGAAGCCTTGCAGGCTGTCGTTGTTAGGTCGCCCTGTCTGTCGCAGACAGGCTGTGGTGTCCTACCTTTGGTAGGAGGCACTGCCAGGGCTACTGAAGCTGGTGTTTTCTGAGCCTTGATGTGGAAACTATGCCATTGTCAGTGGGTAGGTTTGGAAGATGAGAAAGATCTGATGTCTTCGCAGTTGTTTTTGTTTTAGTGGGTTTTGTTTTCTTTCTTTCTTTTTTTTTTTTTTTTTTCTTTAAGTATTAAAGCAAAACTCTTGCTCAGGCAAGATCTCCTAATAGGATATGCAAAGATACAGAATGAAGTATTTCAAGTGAAACCAGTTTTAATGATGAGATGCATTTTAAGGTGTCTCTAAAATGAAACGCTGAATGACGGACTGCCTTTTGCCTGCAATGTAAGTAGATCATGGCTGAGGGTAATTTTATAGTCAGCCATTAGTGTAATCAGTTTATCCTGAATTTACTGGATGCTGAAGAATTTTCAAGAGAGAGCTTGTATGTGTTTAAAAAAAAAAAAAAAGGCAAAGAGTTCTGCTGGAACACATTTAACTAAATTAGCCTCTCTTGCAATGAAACTTTTAGCTTAAATATATGGTCAATGAGAGATATGGGCTGTGAATTTTGCACTGCATTTGGCGTGGGCTGCAAGTGTGTATCCAGATGCTTGTAGGACATGTAAAAACTTGCTACACTGCGGTAGCTTGGTCTTCTTGCTTGAGTCTGCTGTGTTGGTTTTTTCCTCTCGGAAGCCTCTTACACAGATGTACAACTGTCAGAGGAGAGACGAGTTCAAGCCAACCTTATGCTGCGTGCAGAGTTGGCCACTGAGACTGAAAAGCTCTTTAAAGGGAGAAGGTGCTGAAATGCTGGTTGTTTCTGGTGTGTGTATTTTGATTTGCACATGTGAAACGTCAGGAGGTATCTGAACAGAGCCACTGGTCTCTGTTCTTTCTTGTTCTCAGCTGCCACCACAGATAGCCATCTCTTGACTGCAAAGAAACTCGTGAAGTTAGGTGTCTAATTTAGCTGCAGCCCACAAAAACATGTCCTAAAAAGTTTGAGAAGTGGAAGGTACTTCCTATTAGCGTGAGAGGTCTGCTGCAGGATGGGAGCGATGTGGGCAGGTAACCAAAATGGCCTGGATGAGTGAAATAGAAATGAAAGGATCCTGCAGGAGGGCTGCTGGTCAGAGCCGCCTCTTTTGTGGTTCTTAAGCCTTCCTCCTGCAGTCACCTGAGCAGCTGTGGGCCTGGGCATGATCAGAACACATATTCAGTAAGGCTGCTTTTTGGGTGTGAGTAGACAGTTGCACAAGTTGCTGTGTGATGTATTCTG